AGAGAGAGAGAGAGAGAGAGAGAGAGAGAGAGAGAGAGAGAGAGAGAGAGAGAGAGAGAGAGAGAGAGAGAGAGAGAGAGAGAGAGAATGCTGGGCTGCTGTCGTGGGACTCTCACGTACTGTCTCACGTATAGCAAGGAATGTGCGGATCTATACCATTATAACCATAGATGCACAATTACCATGGCGTAGTTTCTTGCAAGAGATCCACAGGTGTATGGATTCACCACAGTAAATTAATAGCAAGAAACCACAGGCATAGTTTCTTGCCATAGATCCACAGGTGTGTTAGGACCTGCCAAACACGGACTGAGACACAAAGCTGATTTCTGAGTTTTGCCAATGGAATGTATGCCTTGCTGAGTTTTCCGCTTGTTGCTGAGTTTCCTAAGTCTGAGTGTGTGTGTGCTTGCTGGTCTGCGTGCCTGTCTGAGTGCTCGTCGGTTTGAGTGTGTGTGTGACCCGCAAGGGTACTTGTACGTGCGGAAGGCCCAAAGGGCCGGTACTTACCTGTGCCCATGACATTGAGATTTGCAGCGGGGAAAACACTCAAGTGCCGGGAAAAGAGGCCTGCGACACTCGGAGCAGCGGAAAAACACTGAAGTAGCAGGTAGGCCGGTACCACACCAAGAAGAGGTAGATGAGCCGGGTACTCGAGGCCGAGCAGTAGAAGACAAAGTTGGCATTTCTAGAGGCCCAGTAGTTGTAGGCTAGGTCTAGGCGGGTACCAGTCCAACCAGTCTGAGTCTAGGGCCTGTACGGGCAATATCAGAGTCTGCAATGATGTTTCCCTCCAAATGGGAGGAGATGCCGGTTGCTTGGAGGCCGCGCGGCCTAGGAAGTGACTCGCCAAGAGGCAAGCAGGCTGCTATATCTCCAGGAGGAGCGAAGTGCTCCTCCTCATTGTCCGTGTGCCAGTTTGGCGACACACTGGCTGGAGCGCTGGGTGGAGCAGCGCTAGCACAGAGCAGCGCTGCTGGGGAAGGAGCAAGGACAGGAGGAGGAGGAAGACCAGGACTAGGAAGGGGGAGCGCCAGAGGTACTTACCTGGCTATGGTGGACACCATCTTCATTACCTTGGTGGACGCTGCATCTGGAAGGCCCCGCTGGGGTAGAGCTGCACCAAGAAGCTTCGAGGCAGAGCCAGGCATGGCGGCCTGAACAAGAGCAGCCATAGTTGCTTTGTGTTGTCCTTTGCACAGCAGGGCAATGCCCTGGTAGTCCGCCATAGCCTCAGCCTTGGAGGAAGGCGGAAGAAGGGTGGCCATGGCTATGGTGGACCTCATGGGATACCTGCAGTGGAAGAGGAGGAGAGTGGTTGGCGAAGAAGAAGGGAATTCTCATTGGTCTTTGCTGGTGTACATCTTCTTCTCTTTCTTTCGTTCATCTTCTTCTTCTTCTTCTTTCTTTCATCTTCTTCTTCTTCTTCTTTCCCTCTCTCTCCTCTCAAGTTCCTTCATTTCTTTTTGAATTGGACGGCATTGTACTTTCTCATGAATGTGTGCTTCGGAATTGGCCAGGATCATACCAGGTGTATGGATTTACCACTGTGAATGTGTGGTAGATATGGCATGAAACCACGCGTGGATTCTTGCCATACATCCACAGTTGTATGGCAAGTGTGGATCTGGTAACTGGGGATCTATGCTATAGATCCACATATTTACCATGGTAAATGTGTGGTAAATGTGGCAAGAAATCTCCTGTGGTTCCTTGCCATAGATCCATGTGTATGGTAGGTGTTGTCAAAACAAAGGCAACCCATACTGCATTGTCATCAGCTCAGCTCCTCCTCTCTCTCTCTCTCTCTCTCTCTCTCTCTCTCTCTCTCTCTCTCTCTCTCTCTCTCTC